GCTGTTAAGATTGCTGTGAGGAGTTCGTCAATGGCTGTTGGCACTTCCAAGCCTTAAACCCTATGATTTAAGGTCGGTAAGGTTGCACGAGCAATTGCCATCACCAATGATTCCCATTCGGTGCAGGTTATCCTGCCACAAAAGCAGTTGGGTCCAGATCAGACATGTGAGTTCCAAAATAATGACCCTCAGATATGAGCGATTGCAATGGTTGATATACGCTTTCTATCAGAATTCACAATCCATTTCTATGTTCCTGTTGATTGTTTAATTACACTCGTTACTTCATTCCAATCTGGTCCTTTCTTGAAAGAAAGGACTATCTTCTACCAGTTGTTTTAACAACTAACCAGTGCAGCAACATTTTGGTTGGGGCCGAGGTTAATTGAGGGAGGGAAGTAAAAGATAAAACAATGAAAGTATAAATTATCTTTATCTTTAACTTTTAAGTTTAGATAGTCTCCTTATTTTTAAAATTAGAAATAGATTAATTAGAGATAGTTTCCTTTTCGATTTCGAATTGTAGTTCTTTATAAATAGGAGGATAACTTGTTATTTTCATTATTGATATTTTGATAATAAAATTTACATAAAAGTTTTCTCTCCACTTAGCTAGTTTTTCGGTATTCTTTTAAATCAACGAACTACTCATTTTTCGCTTTCTGATATTCTTTCGAATCAACGGAATTACATAACACCTTATACGCTTCCGCTTCGTCACCCTTAGACATTGAGATGCTTAGCTCAAAATAGAGAGGCCGCAAGAAAAAACCGTCTGAGAAAGAAGGTAAAGAGTGTTTTTTTCTTCACTCAAATGAAAGTTATATTTTCCAAGAACAAGTTTCCAAGATCATATTTATTTGCAATAATAAATGGTTAATTGGTTCATAGGCTTATGTGCAACAACTAGAGTCAAGTCGAATAAAGCTTACTCAGATTGAACAAGACCTTCAAAGAGCCCGCACACAGGTTTTATTTTTAAAATTATTTCCAATAATGAAGTTAATTCCCCCATTGAAAGTGATATTTTAGCTGTTTATTATTTTTATAATTGCATAAATTTCCTCTCTCTCGATTTTATATTTGTATTTTTAATTAATTACAAAATTATGTCCAACAAAGGAATTTAATTTCCGTATTGAAAATGATATCTAAACTGTTTAATTTTATCAAAATCGTATAATTATTCTCTGGTATTCCGGATTTCATATTTTTTATATATTAATAGAGTTAATTATTTATTTTAGGGATTATTTTTGGGTGCTTGCGGTGGTGCCGCTGGCAATATCAGCTCAGGTGAGTTTCTTTGACGCAATGTTTTGGCATTTTTTGTTTTATCAGAGTAGCCTTTACTTTGTGATTATATTACGGAGAAAATGACAAAACCAAAAGAAATGAATCATTTTTTTTTTCTCTTATTTTGGTATTTTGGTAAAAAACAAAGGACATGAAAGAATTTTTATTTGAGCAATGAAAATGTGGGGCCATTTACAGGAAGCCACTAGAATTACTGACTCCTACTCCACTCTCTCTCTCTTCTAACCGCCTGGGCTTTTCCATTAGCTCTTTTTTGTTGAGCTCTTCAGGGATGCAACTACTTATTGGATAAAACTAATAAAATAAAATATAAAAATAAAATAAAATAACAATAAACTCTACATTTTATGTGAGAAATGAATGAGGCAATGTTTTCTTTCATAAAAGGTGGTAAAAGCATTAGGAAAGGGAAAAAAATTTTAAATATAAGGCGTTTGGATGGAACATGGCCGATTGTAGGGCCTACATAGAAAAAAAATAATAAATAAAGTGCATTAATTAACGAATGTGACTTGATGAAGGTGATCTAGACGTGCCAACGGAGAAGAAAATTTGAAAGTAACTTGTTGACGTAAATAAATAAATAAACATCTGATTGATTAGAAATGATTTGTCTCGTCACTACTCTCCCTCACAAAAAAATTCCCAAAATCTATTGAAGAAAGAAAAAAAATCCGATGAAAATGAATTTTTTTGAAATAATTATTATTCAAAATTGCAATTAAGTGACTTAAGTGGTGGGTAAATTTAAATTAATTAGTCTGAAAAGTCTGACTCTGAGTGGTTGGTAAATGTAAATTAATGCTCTTTTTTTTTTATTGTTGATCAATAGATCCCCAACCCCCTTCTGAAATGTCCAGTCATATTAGTTATTGTCGATCAATGCTTAAACTTACACACTTTGCCACGAAAATACAATACATTTGTAATGAATTGCTGGGCTAGACGAGTAATAGGACCACATGTATTTTTTCTTCTTCCTCTTCACTTATTGATTTTTTTACGACTATATTAGCCTAAAATTGTCAAAAAGGAGGGGAAAAAAAAGAGTGAGGTTTTTTAAAAGAAAATAACTGAGCCGGTGAGAAAGAAAAAAACAATGAGTCTCTTTCTCTTTTTGAGAAACGCTGTGATGACCCTAACTTTTGATCGTCATCCTATACTCATATTTAACATTACTTAACCTCTAACACTTACTAGTTATAACCTCTTAAAAACTCAGGCCATTTTTTTTTTCTTTCCATTCTTACCATGTACGTTAAAATGCTGTAGCATTTAGCTAGCATTCTGCTTTCATCCTTTCGTAAAATGCTATAGCATTTAGCTAGCATTCTGTTTCCTACCATTCGTAAAATGATGTCACATTCTGACAGCATTATGTTACATTAGTCATCAAAATACATAAAACACTACTCTATTTTACACATAAAGTATAGCAGCGTTTTCAAAACACGTGATACATCCACAACCCACTTGCCCACATTCCGCTGCTACACCCTCTCTGCATGCCCAGCATCAAGTTTTAGGGAGCCGGTGCCTTACCCGTGCTTCCTACAACACGAACAAACTTAATGAGCTTTTGCTCAGCAAGTATCAATAGGTCATAACGTAACAAATGCAATAATTATGCATACCCATATATGCATTCATGTCATATAGCCTAGTACAGAATTCTAAACGATTTTCATTTTGTGTTTCTCATGCTTTTCATTCTTGTTTACGGATACCATACCGTTATATGAAATGGTTTTCGTATTTCATTTTTTTTGTCTTTTACTTTTTAGGGGCCCTGTCCTGTTATACCATAGCGCGCATAACCAGTGAGGAGTAGGGTAGCTAACCAATCTAACTCAGTCACGGTTTCATATCTTTCATAGTCTCATAATAACCTTTCATTCGAAGGCTAGTACAAACAGGACGTTTAGTCTCTTACCATTTATCAATTTTCTCATTGAAACGGTAACTTTAGTTAAATCTTATGAATTTGTGCATTATTGAGCATTTTATCATGAGATTAACTTTTCGTTAAAGTTTAACCTTTCATTTCTCTTAGTTTGATCTCGACTTAACATCGATACATACTTTTTGTAGAATAAAGTTCTACGATTACATATGTCTTGTAGATACTTACCTAACATAGTATCTAGCATTCACATTGTATTTAACATTCAAAATTCTACTATATGCACAATTTTTGTGCAACATAGAAAAATAAGCTTGTTCGTGATATAGCCATAGAAAAACTATTGTACTTACAGAAATTTTGCTAACAATGCGTCCTTTGTCTCCCTTGCTACTGTCCGACTTCAACCGTTAATCGGCCCTATTGCATAAATTTTTTGATCGTTAGATTCAAAATCTAAGATCAATAATTACATTGAAATTTACATTGGAAAGGTCTACAATCCTTATGTTTGGTATTCAACCTCAAACTATTTCCTATCTCAAGGATTTGCACTAAAATCGTGCAAATTACTCAGTCATGGGCCTAATTTCCAGTTTCGGTCCAAAACTGTGAATTCTGGTTGTGTTCGGTTTCCAACCATCACCGATTATCCAAACATCTTTCTTTGCACACTTTAATCCCATATTCCTCTTGAAATCCAGTTTTAGTTCAAATTACTCAAACTAAATTTCGGCAGAGTTTCGCCTTATTTTTCTCGTTTCTCGAGTTTTCAATAACTTGTTCTACTTCTGATTCTGGTACCTGGAGTCAAGATTCACATTCCTGAACACAGATTCTAACATAATATTGAACAATATATATGTTCTTTCTTAATCTAGGCTCACGGATTTTCAATAGAAATCCACCAAAACTTCATTCAATCGTCTTAATACTTACACCGTTAAACTCTTATTACGATGCTCTACAAAATCTCAGTTTCGATTTTCACTTTAACAGAAGTTTTTCTGAGATGGGTTACTATTCATCCAAAACAAAAAAACATAGAATTCTCATGAAAACTCTGAAATCTTACCTCCAGAAGTTGAGGTTTTTCGCTAGAACGCCTCAGGTTACGTTTCTACCGGACTGAACGGAGGAAATCTCAATGAAAATGCTTGATTTTCCTTCCTCCGTCTCTCTCTAGCAACTAACATCTTTCTTTTCACACTTTAATCTCATATTCCTCTTGAAATCCAGTTTTAGTTCAAATTACTCGAACTAAATTTTGGCAGAGTTTCGCCTTATTTTTCTCGTTTCCCGAGTTTTCAATAACTCGTTCTACTTCTGATTTCGGTACCTGGAGTCAAGATTTACATTCCTAAACACAGATTCTAACATAAAATTGAACAAAACATATGTTCTTTCTTAATCTAGGCTCACGGATTTTCAATAGAAATCCACCAAAACTTCATTCAATCGTCTTAATACTTACACCGTTAAACTCTTATTACGATGCTCTACAAAATCTCAGTTTCGATTTTCACTTTAACAGAAGTTTTTCTGAGATGGGTTACTATTCATCCAAAACAAAAAAACATAGAATTCTCATGAAAACTCTGAAATCTTACCTCCAGAAGTTGAGGTTTTTCGCTAGAACGCCTCAGGTTACGTTTCTACCGGACTGAACGGAGGAAATCTCAATGAAAATGCTTGATTTTCCTTCCTCCGTCTCTCTCTAGCAACTCTCTTTTTTTTTCTTTCTTCGTAACTTTCTCACGTCTTTTTTTTTTCCTCTGCTATGCTTCACGTTGGCATTAGCAAGTTTTTGTTGTTCTTCAACGTGAGAAATAGCCTTAGTACACTTAGGTAGTTTTACAAGGTAAGTTACCAACGTGAGTCATCTTCCAGCCAAACGTATATAATGACAGGCGGTGTTATTGCATGTGAGGTATATATCCACCTCCACCCCACGGTAACAACAATTCTTTTTACTTCTCTTTTTTTTAAGGTACCTAAAGATAATCTAATATATATATATATATATATATATATATATATAACTTGGGTTTTCTCCTTTTCTTCTTAGTTGGCCACACTTAGGCAAATAAAACAAAGTGGCTTCTAATTCCTTCACTTCACGTTCTTAAAGCATAAATAAATATAATAATAATATTTCTTAAGAAACGTACTTAGAAATAATTATATATAATATATATATATATATATACATATACTATAACTTTACATATTTCAGGAAATGTTACCCCGTACATAAAATTTTTACATAACATTTTCTTGATTACATCAAAATTCTACTACTTACTATTCTAAAAAGAATTTCGGTCAAATATTGGACTGTCCGGATTAGACCTAAATTTTTTCCAGTCATTACAAACGTCGCGCTCGCAAGTTCTTCATTTATGTCCAAGATTATGATGAAAATGACCCCAAAACCCATGACGGCTTCGACTTGACAAGGGTCACTACAAGAGAACTCGTTTCGTAAGCACTTTAGTTTTGCCATTCTTATTTGTTGGAACTACTTAACTCTTGTCTTTCACCCTTTGGCACCGTCTCATATAATCATATAATTGGATTGATTATATCAAATTCAATAAAGTTCATCTGCTAAAAATTTTGAAATAAAGACAGGTATGATCTTGAGTAAGCAAAGACATATTGATACCATTTGAAGTAGTATTAAGTGAAATCAAGAATTAGAAACAATATTCTTCTTGAGCAAAAAAATAAAAAGAAACAGTATCTTATACCTTTTGTGGTAGTAATAGTATTAAATGTAATTAAAAACAAGAAACATACAGGTCTTTTTACTAGTTGAAAGCTCACATCGCCTACGTCAGATTTTGTTTCCTCACAATACTAGTAATACTGATTATTATGTTTTAATAGTCACAAACATATCAAGCTATTGACAGTTGCTTCCCTTTTTTTTAATTTATTTTCTGAATGTCTTTGATAAAACGATATTGCTTTATTAATTATTACCTTATTGAATTGGGAGCTTTGTCGACATTCATTAATGAATTTTTTTAATCATCCTAGACCATTTTTTATATTAGTTGGTGGATGATTTGTCAGGAAATATGGTCTTGATGACAAAACTTTGGACTTCATTGGCCATGCAATAGCTCTTCATAGGGATGATCGTTACTTAAATGAACCTGCACTGGACACCGTGAAAAGAATGAAGGTAAAAGCTCATTTCCTCTTGCTTTTAACTTTTCTCCATTGGTTTTGAAGTTTTATTTCATTGAAATTTTTTGGTCTCGTCATGCAATTGAACTTCTGCTTGTTGCTTATGTAATAGCTTTATGCCGAGTCTGTTGCCCGTTTCCAAGGAGGATCCCCATACATTTATCCTTTATATGGATTAGGAGAGCTTCCTCAGGTCTCTCGCTCTCTGTCTCTCTCTCTGTCTCTCTCTCTCTCTCTCTCTCTCTCTCACTCACACACACGCATATGCAAATTTATTTATTTGGAGATTTCAAGATAAATCAATCTATGTATTCATGTACCTAATTTTTGTGGTTTGGACAGGCATTTGCTCGGCTCAGTGCAGTTTATGGCGGGACATGTATGTTAAATAAACCTGAGTGCAAGGTACTTTGCTTTATAGTCCTAATCTCCTTTGTGTGTCACTAGATAGCTGGTTTTAATCTTTGCTTGATACTAGGTTGAGTTCAATGAGGAAGGAAAAGTTATTGGTGTTACTTCTGAAGGCGAAACTGCGAGATGCAAAAAAGTTGTATGTGATCCGTCGTACTTGCCGAACAAGGTAATAGCATTTTCGATGTTGGTGTATTCGTGTGCTTTATATCAAAATTTTAGGCTGATTGTTGCTGTTAATTTTTTAAGCTCTCGGACATGAGGGCTGAAAATTTTATTTTTATTTTGGTTATGTCAATGTTGGTGGTGAAGGCAGTGATAATAAACCATTTTTACGTACTATTCAACAGGTTCGAAAGGTTGGAAAGGTTGCAAGAGCAATTGCCATCATGAGCCATCCAATTCCCAACACCAATGATTCCCATTCAGTGCAGGTTATCCTGCCACAGAAGCAGTTGGGTCGCATATCAGACATGTGAGTTCCAATATAATGACCCTCAGATATGAGATTGAAATGGCTGATTGTTTCATTAGACTCGTTACTTCATCAGAATTCACAATCCATTTCTTTGTTCCTGTTGATTGTTTAATTAGACTCGTTACTTCATTCCAAGCTGGTCCTTTCTTGGAAGAAAGGATTATCTTCTACTAGTTGTTTTAACAACTAACCAGTGCAGCAACAGCTGGCGCACACATTTTGGTTGGGGGGGTTAATTGAGGGAGGGAAGTAAAAGATAAAACAATGAAAGTAGATCATATGTCCCGGTGACTGGTATATGGTAATTTTTCCCTTGAATCATGTGGCTGAGTAGTCGGTTTTTACCATGGAAATTCTGATTAATTCTGCATTTGAAAATTTTCTCTCTTCATTTGTGTATGTCTCTGAGTGCATAGACCTAAGAAAACCCACAATTGAGCTGTTTTTAAGTTTGAGAACATGAAAATGGTGAGCACTTGGTTTAGCCTTGCTATTGATGTTAGCACAGTGACTCGTTGGATGATGAGTTGTTACTTGTTAGGTTTGTTCTACGAGTTAATTCTCATGATGTTTTTCGGCTTCTCAGGTATCTCTTCTGTTGTTCTTACTCTCACAATGTTGCTCCAAAAGGAAAATTTATTGCATTTGTATCGACCGAGGCAGAGACTGATAATCCCGAGACTGAGCTGAAGCCTGGAACTGACCTTCTTGGGCCTGTTGACGAGATATTCTATGATATGTATGACAGATATGAGCCAGTCAACGAGCCCACTTTGGACAATTGCTTTATATCAACAGTGAGTTGGCCTTGGGTTTTCCTCCTGAATTCTTTCAACGACTTCTGTATGTGTTTTGAGGTTTGAGTATTATGGATGCATAATTACTTACCCCTTTATTGTTGCAGAGTTACGACGCTACAACACACTTTGAGTCCACAGTGATAGATGTGCTGAACATGTATACCCTGATAACTGGGAAGGTAATCTTTCTTATTTGGAAATTTATCGACTTTAAACAACGAACAACTTGAAGTCTGCTGACCGACCTCTCCCGACCAACTAGATAGTAGATAAACTTACATGCCTTATGAAAGTATAATTTCAGTTGTAATGTTTTTTAAGTGGAAACTGAGCATGCACCATATTTTGAGCAGGTTGTGGACCTGAGTGTGGACTTGAGTGCTGCAAGTGCTGCGGAAGAATGAGGAGCACTCCACTCCTTTTGGCATTGATTGATATGTAAGTTAATCCTTTTTTTTTTTTTTTAATCAAATCAAACTAGCCTACAAATGCTAAAAGTTGTAAACACCAACACAAGGGGAGCTGGATTGTCTTGAGTTGTATCATTTTTCTTTTTCATCCATGGACATGTTACGAATGTTGTTTGAAAATGTTGGTTGTCACGGAACATGTGTAGATTTCAGACGTTATGATCGATGATAATTTCTAGCCTTGCAGCTTGGCAACCCTTTTTTTATTTTAATTTTAATTTTAATTTGCCGCGTTGTTGTATTTGGGGCCATATATGTCAATTGTGCACGTGAAATGAAGTCACTTGATAAAAAATGACAGAATCGCCATCTTTCAATGATGAGATCTAGAGCCTGAATTCCCCGCTATTAAATTCAAAAATAAATAAATAAAATGGCGTTGTGCTTTGTTGCTACGGCAAGCCAAAATCGCCCCTCATCACATCATATGCTTTGGTTCCTTTGTATTGCAATCAACTCCTCTTTTAAAAATAATCCCAGCTAGAATTATGCGTGGAGAGAAAATGTTTTGGAGTAGTCTTTTTGCTCTTCATTCTCTTCGCATCTCGTAAGATCATATATTCATTCTCTTGACATCTCTTAAAAGCATATTACACGCACATTAATTAGCCTTATCTAATTAATTTTTGTCTGCACGAATCAAACTCATCATAGGTTTGGTATATATATCTAATGTTTTTTTGCGTACGTATCAACCAATATTGTCGAAAAGAATAAAAATAAAATAAAATGCGTTAGAGATTTAAATAAAATGCCTTCTTTGGCCCTCGTTTGTTGTTTTTCTTCCTGCT